TTGATTGGGGTGGGGGGGGATACTTTACACGAAGCCTCAAACTCATTTTAAAAACTGACTCCAAATTTTTGGATTGAACTTTGTTCACGGCTAGTGTTAAGGACGCATAAAAGAACAAAAAACAACGAACAAACAAAGAACAAAGAACATTTAAATGGTACATACATTTTTGGGGGAAAGGGTCGTTTTCACGTAATTCCTTGGACACTTGAAAACTTATTCACTTGAAATTAATGTAATTTATTGTTTTAATACATTTTCTCTAAAACCGCAACAATTTTTTCCATAGAAAATTGCGTGTTGGAGATAATGGGAGAGAATTGGATTTTTAAGGGTCGGTCCAAATGAGTACGACAGAGCGACTGCGTGATGTAGCGGTAAAGTGCACGGGGAGTTAAATCAATGAATCTTAGTTCGAGTCTTGGCTCGGATTTTTTTTCTGGTTGAAAAACCTTTTGCAAGGCAATGTACTGGTATAATATTGGAGGGTCTCAAATAATGCGAGAAACTATGTGCTGTTGTAGCACTAATGGTTTTGTCTGTTGTTATAATGACACACTAGCAATACACCAGTTGTCAGATGAACATTTGTAGAGTTCAGTCACAACTTGGCACTAAGTAATTTCAACACTCGGAGTAAGATGACCAACACTCGTAATTTTGCATAATAGCTCAGTGTTCTGCGGCGTCTGACTAAAGCGCCATAATCGCTTCTGCCCTTAGTCTCCCTAAAAGTTCTACCACTACGAAGTTCTCCAGCGTGGAGCTTCTGAAACTTCCCCGTGTTTACGGTTTCCATTTCTTCGGCTTGATAATCGTTCTAGAACATTTTACGGGAATTGTCTCATGGTAATAGTAACTCCTTCCACAGCCCTCGGTTACTTCTGTGCTCTGATTCAGGGCTGTGTCCCAGCTCTCTTGTGTGGCCTCTTAATGAGTTCGCGTGATGGGTTCTTCGCAATTCTTTTTCTTTCGGTCTGAAGATGTCGCCTTGCTTTGAGTAATACGTGCGTTGCTGATTGAGCTAATGTACTCTCGAGGAAAACATGGTCTTGCGCTGACTTTGCATGCTGTTTTTGAAATTAATGTATATTTTCGGAGCTTGGGTCGGCTGTCAGTTGGGAGAGGAATGGATGTATGCCCCTCTGTGAAGCGAGGATACGAAGAGCTGGTAGTGGCGGGCACATGGAAGACCCCAGAATGTCATCCATTGCAATATTCTTAAAACTGGAAAATCAGCGTGTCTTTGGGACGAAGGCTTCAGGACGACCAATAGGGTCCTGGATCGTTCCAAGAAGTCATAATTTAGTTTTGAAAAATTGTCTCTGGTGAATGTACACATCTGAAACCAGCCACCGTTCCAGACTGGAAACCTGATTCGTCAGCTGACGGAAGGCTATGAAAAGAATAATATCAGTGTGGACGAAACTGGAGTGTTCTTCAATCTTCAGGTCAACAAAACCCTGTCTTTTAAAAAGGAACCATGCCATAGTGGTGTTACATAAAGTAACGATTTACTGTATTAATGAAATAATAAATGAAAAAATGTGTGAAAAAATTGCATTCACAAGTTTCAGGTTTCAAAACTTCCGATATTTTAAAAATAATACATCTCTTCCAGCTAACTACTGCAAGACAAACCTTCAAGCATAGATAACAGGACGAATATTTTAAAATGATTTTTCATGCTATTGGATAGACAGATAGGGGCCAAGAATCGGAAAACTCTTTTTTTGTCGATGTCGATGTTCTGTTCCTCCAGTAGAAATCAGTGTGCTGAAAAATGTAATATTGTTGCCACCAAATTGTATTAGTGAACCACAGTGATTGGATATCATCCATATCTTTACGTAACACTATAGAATGCTGCAAGTAAGAAAAGCTGAAGCAACGAGAGATGTTAGAGGGCTGCTTGAAGTTGCTTCAAAATTGAAAACCCTTCAACTTCTGTTTATTATTTTTCTTGCTTTCATTGTTGTCTATTCAAATTACGTTTTTTACGTTAATCTGGTCCCTCTTTACTAATCTGTCTCTTTAAAGTGAGGATGTGTGTGTTTCCAATAGGAATATTTCCTTTGTTATTGGAATTATCATTTGTAGATTATGAGGTTCTATATTTGTTTTATAAAAAACGTGCTTAATTTAACATGTTTCGGTAAGTCCTCTTCAATTTATATATTTTATACTTTCTAGATATTTATAATTTTTCACATCTGTATACTCTATATTTAAATAATTTCATCCATGATTTCTGTGTAATTTTTGTATTTTTGATTCTTTTATTTTATTCGATATCTTTTGTTTCGTAAACATATCAATTATTTATTTGCATACTCGTGAAGATGCGTTTAAATAACATGCAAAACATGTATGGAAATTAAACTTTTTTGGAAAAGGAAAATTTTCATTGTCAAAAAGCAACAAGATTCTTGTGCTTAATTATTACTATTGACATGACAATCTTAACTTTCTCATATTTTTATGTACTGAGAAACTTCTTCCTTAATGACATCTGTTCACCAAAAACATCTTCAAAAAAGGTCATGTTCGATTTTTGAAAAATATGTTGTGTTTGCGTGAAACAGATTTTTAAACAATTATTTTCTCAAAATTGGCTCAAATTTTTTTCTTTAATTTTTTACTTTCTTCCTACGGAGTAGAGAGAAAGGTAAAGATAAGATAAAGATAAATTTATTTGAACTGCAAATGGGTACAACCCAGTGGCAGATAATTACATAAAAAAGATACTACGGCTAACATGCAAATAATAATATAAGTATAATAATAGTAATAATAAAACAATAAAAATAATAATAATAATAACAAAATTGTGTTATTCATAAAACATTAAATTACCTTTAAAAATGAAGTATCTATAATCTAACTCCGCACTAATGTTTGTTCAATTAAGACCACACTGCACTTCAATTCACTATGACCCTTTAATCACTTCCTTCATTATTTCTCTGTTCTACACTGCACGACACCACACTTCACAATATATTACTTACGCATCGCTCTATAACCTACTATTCTCGGTTAAGTCCCTCATTTTCTTAGTACTACCCAAAATTAATTTCCTAAACTGTTGAACGCTACGAAGAAAGGGTTCAAAGGTTTTTGCAGGCAATCTATTCCATTCCGTTATCGTTCGATTTGTGACATCCGTCCTCTGCGGTCTTATTTATTTTGTGCCTGTTATGTTATGCCGCGCGAAAAAAACGGCGAATTTCGGCAGAAAAAAAACTTTATTGCAGGGTCCTGGTAACAAAAAAAGTGAATAAATCCAGTTGCTAAATTTGGGGGGAGAAATCCTCTGACACTTGGTGTAGCCGGAATCCATGTTTTGTGGATCCATGATACCGAAAAATCGAATGGCGGCAAAACGTCTCTCCGCCTGTGAGCTAGCGGCGTAACAGTTCCACCGATTTTCTCCAAAATTGATATTCCCCAATTGAATCGTTTATTTCAGAAACCCGTCAAACGCTATAATCTGAAACGTGCATTTGTGGCGAATTATTACCCCAGGAGGATAGACACATCGTAGTGTATTTTTATATAAAAAAATTTCATATATCAACTGCTTCAATAAATAAAAATATTTTGAAATCAGAAAATATGGGAGGCTTTTGTAAGTTTTCTTGAAATGAGGAGTTTGGCGTTTGACGGGTTTTCTGAAATAAACTTTTCAATTGATCTGCCTGATGTCGTATTCCCTTGAATTTGAAACTGATATTTTCTGTGGGAGGTACTTCACATTAAGCCCCTAGTTTTAAAAAAAAGTGGCTTCATCGTTTTTTATTCAATTTTATTTGTTTGATAGTGTAAAGAACGTGTAAGAGAATAGTGCAGGTCTGTTCGTAGAAAATCCTGATTTTCGAAAATCGCAAAAGTACAATTTTTTTCGTAATCTTTCTACAACCAAAGTATTAAAGATAGTTTCCCGTAATGAAATTTAGTACTTAAAGATTTTTCGAATTTTTTCGAAATTTTGAGTAATTTTGCGTGAAAATACGGGGGAGAAAGTACGCGCTGTTTTAGCAGCACCAGTTTCTAACGTTTATTTTCTAAATTTGCAAACAAACAACATCACGAAATTACAATACCGTTGATGGTTTTTGTTTAATGAAATATATTCTAAAAAAAATCAGTTCTTTAAACGAAGGTAATGCGCATTTTTTATGTGAGTAGTTTACCGTGATTTTTGCGCTCTTCATTTGGTGGTCTTTTACAAAGTATCAGATTGCAATACATATGCAACTCCGCACCGCAACTCGGCAGTTTGAAATTCTGAGAATTCCTTCTCATTGTTATGAAATGCTTCTAGCTGTATCAATCGCAATTTTAATTGCCGAATTTGTCCTGTTGATATTAGCTTTAAACACTTAGTTTTCGAACCTAATTTTCTACGGTTTGTAATGATCGATATGTGTTAAAATGGACAGAAGTTGCTGTGTTAAAATATTGCATAACAGTTTCCGAAGCAAGAAAGTACGTGCTGTTGTAGCACCTTTAGTTGTCTGTTGTATTTGTGATGACCTCATAATTTATTATTTCTGCTTTCTTTGTGACTGCTTTATTTATGATCCTGAAGATTTATTGAATCTACTTGCTTTCACCAAGTCTTTTGTGGCATTGCAGCATTTCTCTCCAAATGCGTTTTCTTCTATTGCAACTTAAGTTATCGTGGATGTAGAGCAACAGACCAAAACGTATTAACTACAATTATTTCCACTTTGAATGAAATGTTTACTCTTAAGTTTTTTTTGAATGTACACCAAAATTACGCTGTACCAATGGATGATAAACTCATTTAAAGAGCGGAGAAAATAAGTGTTAATTAACACATCAGAATATGTGAAATTCAGTGATACGACCATCACCACTTCAAAATGTATATTTATTATTTTGGTATTAACATTCATATAATTGCAGTATTGCAGCATATATTGTGTGTTCAGTGAATTTAATTTGCTATTGAAATTGAATTTCTATTATAGGTACCTGTTAACTAATTCTCAGCAGCCCCAACAACCCAAGAGCGTGACAGATCTTATGCCAATGATTGGAGCAAGGTTCTACACACAACTAGATGCAGTGCAAGCCAGAGCAGATATGTTGGAAAATGAGCTTGCCAAGGAATTGGAGAATGGTCGCTTGTGTAGACTTCTTGTGAAATTGGGCACTGTAAATGAACGTCCTGAGTAAGTAATTGCGATGGTTTTCTATGTATTTTCTATTAATTTGTCCAAATTTTCCGGGTGCATGCAGTAACCTGCAAGTCAGGTGGGCAACTTTTCTCGAATCAACCACGGTTCGATTTTGTAGTAGTGACAATAATACAAAGACATTTTGCCAATCTTCGGTCTCTGATAGTAAGAGTTGCTTTCTGAAAGTTTTATCGTGTTGTTAAACTCATATTATGTTTCGTTCAAGTTTTTATTTTTGTATAAATCAGCTTAGATTAGGGGTTCCCTTTTTTACCACGCCCCCATTTGTCAAGAGGAAAACGTCCCACACCCGCCTTGTACATTTTTATTAGGTAATCAATGAATTAAGTGTTATCTTGAATTACATTGTACATTTATTTTACTCTTTTCAATATTACAAGTTAAGTATGTATGTATTGTAGAAAATGTTCGGCTGTTCCCGTGTACATATGTATATACTGAGTATAGGGAAAGTTATGTAATGCTGCGGAAAATTGATTTCGAGATTTGAATGGAAATACACGTTTTGGGGTTCCTTGATACTGAAAACCTGTTTTTTCAAAACGTCCCTCTCTCCGTCTGTGAACACGATTAGCACCTATACCATAACTTTCTTCAAAATTTGGGGATAATTTAAACGAAGCCCGATCGTTTACCGATCCTTGGTTGAGTATCAGAAAGTGCACAACTGGTAATCATTAGCAACGTCAAGTTTACCCACACCTAGTGGTTGGTAAGCATGCAAATCTATAGAGACAACCTAAAGAAAATTAGAGCAAAATTGCAGACTTATTGACTTGCCTTATTATTGTTGTTGTTTCGCGAATTGGCCATCATGGGGCCACGGAATACGTGCATCCCACTGGGGCTCAGACTTGATTATCGGGGTAGGTGCACGTTACTTTATAGGTGGAATCAGCATTTTAATAGTGATTCAATGTTTTATCCTCCAGGGTTGTTAGCCGTAAGGGTGCGATGGAATTATGATAATGATGATGAAATAGACACTCGTAAATATACAGAGACACACAACTCAACCATGCCCGAGGCGGGATTCGAGCCCGTGATCCTTTGGTCCGCGTCCACCACTGCACTACTGCTTTGGCAATCTCTGCCATCGGGTCGGCGGTTATTATGTACTTAAGGCCACTTCGAAATTGAATTTTCTACCGCGCGAACATTAATGTTGGAGCCTCTAGAGGAGTACATGCTAATCATGTGCGGCTATTAGATTCGAACGCCAAGATATTCTCCACAATATTGAAGCTGATGAAGAAGGCTGGAAGAATCTCGGAGACATGGCGCCAATCCCGGACGATGATGGTCCACAAAGGAGAGAGGCAACATTACAAATTGGAGGTCCATCGCCCTAGCTCCCACAACATACACCGGACTGTGGGCGGCCAGACTCGGGAGTTGGTTAGAACAACACAAAGTCCTCTCGCGTGTGCAAAAGGGGTTCCGGCCGTTTGATGGGGTGATAGAGCACATTGTGTCCTCCAGAGGCAAATGAAATCGGGCAAAGGCGGGCAGGCGTCACCTGGCTATCGCCCTGCTCGACCGAAGAAACGCGTTTGTATCACTACCCCGTCGAGCACTCCAGGACTCCCTGAAAGCGGCTGGGGCGTGGGAGGATTTCATTAGAGTAACAGAAAATATCTACTCGGACACGTTATGGTCCTGGCGGGCCAGGACCTAACAGGTCCTATCCCGATCACCAGGGGCACGTCGAGCTGTCCACTCTCCGCTGCAGCAGTCGCACCTGACGCTCCAGATACAATACTGGCATATGCAGACGACATTGCCATACTACCCGACTGCAGGGAAGAACTCCAGTGCGCGGTGGATGCAGTGCAAGATACCCTACCGAAGAACTGAATGGAAATTAAACCTGCAAAATGCGTTGAGCAAATTTGGAGATAGAAGGGCACACTATCATGAACATCGGTGTGAACGATTCAACGCGCTACCTTGGTTGTCCTGTAGGGTTCAGTGCCATAACAAACTGGACCGGACTCAAGGAGCAGGAAACTATAACCGGCAAGATCGCTGACTCATGCCTATACGACTGGCAGAAGCTAGATGCATTCTGCTAGTTTGCCATGCCAACAGTGGTCTTCGCGTTGAGAATGGAAAGATATTGCAAAAACAAGCTGGACACAGCCTTAATGGGCGAATGTCAAGAATTTTCTATCTCCCCCTGATTTGGCCTCGACATCCTTTTTGTACGGAACCTGGAAAGACGGTGCCATTAGCATTCAATGCACGAGCGCGGAGGCAGATTTCTGGGCAGTCGACTCCGCGTTTAAGATTCTGACTAGCCGTGACTGCAACACAATCACCGCGCTGCAGAATGCACTGGAGAAAACGGCGTACTGCATGGTTGGCGTAGCTGGCATACCTTCCCCACCTTCCGGTCACGGGCGAGGCTGGCTTCCAAACGACACAATATTATGGAGCTTTATGGAAACAGGACGGACATACCCCCAACTTTACCCTCCCTCACACCTACCCCTTCCCTGCGTACAAAACGAAATCCCTGCTGGGCCCGTCCGATCGCCACACGGGCGAACTGCTGGGCAAAGCGGCCCCCACTCCTGCCTGGGCCACCGCCCCGTCAGCCACCGACCACCGGAACGAGTGGGTGTGAGGCCGGCAGTTTGGCGGGCCACTCCCGCACCCCCACAGCCCTGTCTGGCTCCAGCGCCTTCGGCGACGGTGAGTCAACTTAGACCCCGCCGCCGGCAGCCTGACGCAGCCGCCAGCCATCCAGGAGACGGTATGAAGGAGGAAGACGGAGGAGCGGAGGTCGCATGACCCTGGGCGCCAAGGACCGGTCGTCTCTGGTGAAACGTCTACGTGATGCTTTCTACAGGGCACACTCCCAGCGGTGCAGAGGCAGGAACAACCAGCCCAAGTAAAATGCTAGCGCCCTTAAAGGGTTGGGGAAGGAAGCTACGTACTTATTACAATCTGGCAGGAACATGATACGGAGTTACAAATTCATGTTTCCGGTCAGAATTAACTCCTCCCCAGCCTTCAACCACTGCCCTCGTAACGTGGCCAAGAACTGCAGGAACATCGGTCACGTTACCACGGAGTGCCGCTACCTGTCACCGCTATGGTACGCCCGACACAACAGGATTGGGGCTAACTATATGGAGGCGGCCGTTGCAGGTGCTCCGGGAGAATCAGACTTCGCGGTGGCCGACGCGCGTGAGAACAGACTAAGTAACAAGATAGAAGAGAAACGTCGAGCATACGAAGCCACCCGGGCCCACCTCATCACAGTTTCATACCACAGCGCCGAAGTGATCTCACTTGTTGCGGGAGCACTGAGTGAATGGCGCGTAAGTAGTGACGCGGCCCTGAAAAAGGTAGCAACAGGCCACAAACTCAAAGTTCTGAGAGAGCAGATAATAGCTTAAGCCATTGATGGTAGTGCGGCGTGCTACTACACGCACACAAGTAAAGTACACCTGGCCCCACGCGAATATAAACAAATAGCACAGGACAGGGCCAGAAAGGGCGCACCCCCCTCCCCCTTGCTGCGGGAGACCAGCCCCACCTATAGCATGCTCCCGGTGTTCAGTGTCAGTGCAAACGCTAGTGCGTGTGAGTGTTGTGAAATGTGAACAAGTTTGACCAACTCAATACTACAGTGCTTCTAGTCCAATATGAAAGTGCTTCCCACTGGGCCTAATACCGAACACACAGCATTACCAGTACAAGAGAACCATACGTCAATGTAAATAATTGCCAATAAGGCAAATAGTGTAGAGGTTAATAGTATGGCAAATAATTGTAAATATGACTCAATAGAATAAGGTTAGCAGACTAAACAAATGTAATAGAAATTGGACTAATGGGCAATGCCACCTGAAATGTACAAATTAGATTAAGAAATAAAATTGAATTTTAATGAGTTAATACCGTGTCTCCAAAGCGAATAAAGGAAACTAAAAGAACTTCGTTTGAATTCTGTGAAAATTGATTGAATTTTAAGAAAAGGACGACTTTTATTGTCATGTTCTGGTTGTCATTAATTTTTATGGATTGGGTTTGCTCTTGTTGAAGTAAAATGCACAGAATATGCTCAATATATTTCTCTCTCTCTCCCTCTCCCTCTCCCTCTCTCTCTCTCCCTCTCTCTCCCTCTCTTTCTCCCTCTCTTTCTCTCTCTCTTTCTCTCTCTCTTTCTCTCTCTCTCTCTTTCTCTCTCTCTCTTTCTTTCTCTCTCTTTCTCTCTCTCTCTTTCTCTCTCGTTCTTTCTCTCTCTCTCGTTCTTTCTCTCTCTCTCGTTCTTTCTCTCTTTCTTTCTTTCTCTCTCTCTTTCTCTCTCTCTTTCTTTCTCTCTCTTTCTTTCTCTCTCTCTCTTTCTCTTTCTTTCTTTCTCTCTCTTTCTTTCTCTCTCTCTTTCTCTCTCTCTTTCTATCTCTCTCTCTCTCTCTCCTTGCAAATTCAGGAAAAAAGTTATATGCACTGAATTTTTTTAAGTCGTATACATCTCATTGCTTCTCAGTCCCATAAATGTCGTATGTTTGTTTCAGATTGAACATGGATCAGGCATGGTCAGAAACTGGAGATCGCTACATGTTGAAATTATTTCGTGATTATGTGTTTCATCAGGTTACAGAAGATGGTTCACCTTGGGTAGATATGTCTCATGTGGTGCAATGCCTTAATAAATTAGATGCAGGAGTCTCCGATAAGGTAAATATTAGTTCATACTTATCATTTCAAATTCATATTTTGTGCTACTAAATGTGTTAGTCAATTTATGTATAAAAATATACTTATTATAGTATGTACATATAATATGTCTATTTGGAGGTACTAATGTGGGCGGGCGGGTTGTTCGTGCGTGCGTGCGTGCGTGCTCGAGTGAGTGTGTGCGTGAGTGTGTGTGCGTGCGTGCGTGCGTGCGTCTTTTTACTTTCCCGTATACGTATGTATATACGGAGTGAAATATACGTA